AGGATAAGATATCAGCGAACGCGGACTGCCTGGTTTTGAGCCAAACGAACTGTCAAAGCCAGAGCCATACGAGCAGCGCCTATCTTAATTACATTGGCAGTGTTGCTGACCCTCTCATAGTCTGCATGCTTCAATCAGATTTATTTTTATTGCTCGTGAAGTAACCCACAATGAAAATACACCAAGATTTAATGTAACAACAATTTTTATTGTAATAGAGTTGTTCATTATTGTTCATGATCGAATCATGTTAACAATAAAATAAATGAAAAATACGATAAAACAACATTTTATTATGTACATTCATTGTACATCTAGGTATCAGTTTTGCCGTTTTCGGAAGAGTACAACATTATAACAATCATTTTTATTGTCGACAATAAATATTAATGTTAGAGTATTGTTTCCACTGAAAATTTCACTGTAATTTTTTTTTCGGGTGGACATTGCAGAAGTGTGGTTTACATCTCACTGCAGTCCGAAAAATTATCCAGAAAATCTACCCAAGAAAAAACGACTACGTCCACGTAAACAGTACCACTGAACTGTCATCAGATTGAGGTTACATACATAGATTACATAGATTACATACATTTTGAGGTTAGCCCGAGGAAAATAATAAACAACTTTACACGGCGATAGATCTCCTGTTAGTGTGCGTGCGAAACGTCACTACACGGTAACCGCAAAATACCCAATAATGACTACAAAGTAAGCATTTTCGAGGGAGACTGGGACTACCCATTAAATGAGTAAAAATATTACTCATTTATGAATATTTATTACTCAAAAATTAATACTTACTACTTGTTTTTGTAATTGTAATTACTCATAAATAGGTAAAGTTTTACTCATTTAATGGGTGTAGTCCTAGTTTCCTTCGAAAATGCTTACTTTGTAGTCATTATTGGGTATTTTGCAGTTACCGTGCAATCTCTTCTTCTTTCTTTTTATTTAACGTCGGTCTCTGTTCCGCAATCCAGTGCCAATCACCGGCGGACATCGATTGCCATCCATTGACGGCAATCGAATGTGCAGGAAGCCAGCTTCCACACCTGCGTAGGATATTGCACCCATTCAACAAACATGGGCCGGGACCAACGGCTTTACTTCCCTTCCGAAGGAAGACGTGACCAGAGATTTTTATGCCTCAGAAAAATCCCACCGAACTCGGCTGGGATTGAACCCAGACCCATTGGGGTGATAGAAAGCAGTCACGCTTACAACTAAACCACCGGCGCCGGCAAGTGTAATCTCTATTAACCCGAAGTGACGCTTCTTCACACACATTTTGACAGTTCCTTATGGGGTTTTGCGTTGGAGTGAGAGAATAAGAAAAAGTCCGCCATGTTTCACACCATGATGGTTTTGATACGCTTTCCGTTAAATCCAGCGTGAAGGCCCATATTCACCGGATCTTATTCCGGCCATATCTCCGGAACCGGTTCACCGATCCCAAAACCGTTCAATAGCGTTCAATGGGACCCCAAGACCTATCATTTGGCGGAGTTTGTCCAAATCGGTTGAGCGGTTGCTGAGAAACGTGAGCGCATTCATTTCGTTACATACACACACACATACACACATACACACGTACACACACACACACACAGACATGTTCCTATCTCGTCGAGCTGAGTCGAATGGTATATGACACTCGGCCCTTCGGGCCTCGGATCGATAGTCGGTTTTTCAAGTGATATCTATACCCTTCTTTGTAAGAAGGGTAAAAAGTCAAGATCATATGTATAAAAATGAAACTACAATGTGTTGAATCGAAACCTACCTAACTAATAAAAACCAAAGATTTAAGTAAACTAAAGGAGATAAATCTATACAACTCTCTAATAAGGAAAATCCCAAAGGCTTGGTAGCCATCATAATGAAGTAATGAAATTGGGTTGTTAGCGGAATGCTTAAATAAAACAGCAAAAAAGGTTATCATCCATATTTAAGCATTCCGCTAACAACCCAATTTCATTACTTCATTATGATGGCTACCAAGCCTTTGGGATTTTCCTTATTAGAGAGTTGTATAGATTTTTCTCCTTTAGTTTACTTAAATATTTGGTTTTTATTAGTTAGGTAGGTTCCGATTCAACACATTGTAGTTTCATTTTTATACCTATGATCTTGATTTTTTTTTACCTAGTGCGAACATTTCACGGGATTCTGTGCGCTGTTACTTAAGACAAACGGCATCTCCATAGAAATCGGGTGACTTAAGTAACATCGAAAAATATTTTGATCGGAAGGTGATTTACGTCAAAATGAATTTTGACTGGTAATTAAATTTAAAAGTGGGATGTGATCCTATATTTGGACAGCGTCGGTCACCAGCCTCGCCGTTGCTTTTAGAGAAGCCACATAAGAAGTCGTAGAAAAAACAATGTTTTAAATACATTTTGGTTGTACATCTTCTGTTTTATCTTTTATTAAAATTGTTTTTTATAACGCTTTAAATTTTTAATATTTTATCAATATCAAATCAATTTATTACTCATTTTGAAAAACGGTAAATTTTACATAAACTGAGTAGGGGAAACAATCCTATTGTTGCGATACGTTAGAAGCGTTAGGAGCCTGAATCCTGGTGAATGTGGGCGTCTTAGTGGAATACCTGTATAATGAGAGAGAGAAGGATTAGTATTTTCCATTTAATTCCACTACTTTATTTGCTTATCCTTGACAGAAATGCGTATTTCGTCTACAATGTGCAGACTTCTTCAGTGTCTTGTACTAATACTCGACTGAAGAAAAACATCGCATTTACCGAATATATATTAACACAGGTACATTTTCACTTAGAAACTAGGTAAACTTAAATTTAATTTTCTATAGGAACAGGTACTCCGCTGCTTACTCGTTGATGTGTCCTAGGTAGTAACTTGAAAAGCCATGTGTGTCCGTTTCCTTGATCCCTGTTGAGTAAAGTTGAATTACGTTGTTTGTTGATCTCGAGGCTTTCTGCAACATCCAATTTCCATGGTGTAGATACGGTTCGTAAAATCGTGATGACCTCCTCGTCGATAGTTGGTGGTCCTCTGTGAAGATGTGTTCTGCAACCTTGGATTTGAAATCATATGTTAGGCCCTTTTCTTCTTGCTTTTCGGCCTTATTAACCTCCGCTATATGTTCTTTAAATCTAGTTGCTAAAGTTCTCTTGGTTTGTCCTACATATACTTTGTTACAATGATTACAGCTTATTTTATATACACCTGCTTTACCTAAAACATTAACTGGGTCTTTAGTGGATCCTAACAATGATTTCAACTGGTTATGTCTACTGGTGAAAACTAAATCTAATCCGAATTGTTTTAACTGTGGTCTTAGTTTACAAGTAATATCTTGATCAAATGGAACGGACACTCGTTTCAATGGTTCAGGTGCTGTGGTGAGGGTTGTAAATAATCTCCTTTGTTGAATTCTCGCTTTTTTATCGATGATTGCCTGGATTGTGGTCTCCTTGTATCCGTTGAGTCTTGCTGTTTCGAAGATGTACTGTAATTGTTGTACCTGTGTTAATATATATTCGGTAAATGCGATGTTTTTCTTCAGTCGAGTATTAGTACAAGACACTGAAGAAGTCTGCACATTGTAGACGAAATACGCGTATCTGTCAAGGATAAGCAAATAAAGTAGTGGAATTAAATGGAAAATACTAATCCTTCTCTCTCTCGTTAGGAGCCTATTGTTGTGTATGGAGACCTCCATACACAGCAATAGGCTCCTAACGCTTCTAACGTACCGTAACAATAGGACTGTTTCCCCTACTCAGATATGCTTTTTACCGCAAATCAGAACTGAGTACCAGTTAAGGCTGGCGCACAATGTATAAGTTCAAGGTTGCAAATACTCATTTCAGCTAAAATAATGTTTTTCGGAATAATAAAACCAAAAGATGGTATGATGACATGTCAGGCATAACATTTGATAACGGCACAAAAACATTTGTAAACAAACTTTCTAAGGTACTTTACACGCGAACCAAAGTACGCCCACGCAAACCAACAACATCATCGGATAGGGGCAATTGTCACCTTTCCGAAAGTTGAAATTTCACCCGGACAAGTCATAAATGTCTCAAGAGTGTTAAAGTGACTAATCAATAATCAACAACAGTACGTTTTCCTTATTCGACATTCTTCGACGTTCATCGAGCTAGGAAATTGAGGCTACTTCGATAACTTTTTCCATACAAATTTTCTAATTTCACCTCCATACCCTCTCTAACACGATGGTCTGTTCAATGATGAATTAGGGAAAACTGGCTGTATTTTCAATACTGTCAATGATGTATCAGCGATATCTTATAAAAGATCATTGACACACTGTACCCCACCTTTCCCTATCAGTTTTCTATCAACCAATCAAAATTTGTTCATTTCCAATTAAAACAAAACAGTTAGTTTTGAATTAAAGAAAAAACGGTCCATGATAAATTATGTAAAATAGTACTGTCGTCCTTTATGCACATAATTAAGCAAAATTATCATAGAATCCCCATTGACAGTAAAAATTGTTTACCTGTATGTCAAACGTTTTGTTAATAATTTTATTATACCTATTGAAAATCCTAATAAAAAAAAAATCAAAACAGTACCAGCAAAACAGGCGTCGCAAAATGTTGTCTGATCTGATGCGATCTGACCTAAAGCCACCTGATATGTAGAAGCCCAGACAGTTTTCTGGGATCATAAAACCGAGCATCGTAAAAGCGGTTCCCTGTCGTTTCCAGCTACGTATCAGAGAACCCAACATCGAAGAACGGGATCATAAAAAAGTCATTCGTTTCACAATGACCGTCCGACCGCAACCATTTGAGACGTCTATCTCTGCGACACGTGCTTTCTATAATTCAATAGAGAATAAAATAACTGCTTTTTTGTGGACGATATCCTCATTAGTAACATGACCGTGAACATTTTATACGATCACGTGATCAACTCCGATTTGTAGTCAAATCAGTTTCAATAAATTGCATTTTGTCTTCTTTCCAGTCCCCAGTGCATCATCCCATCGGTTCGGTTACACCAAGCCAGAACAACGGCGATGGTCAAAGTCCCACGAGAGCTGTGCCGGAAAGCATCAATCGCCGATCGCCGTCATCAGCAGTAGGGTAAGCGAGAGGCAATGTGATTTTGATCGTGACATTCGTAGATTCACTGTTTTGTCGTCCCCCTTCATTTAGGCAATCCCCTTGAACATGCCGGCGATCGAGTTGGTCGGGTACAACAATCTTCTTCCGGGACCGATCACCCTGCACAACAACGGACATTCGGGTAAGATATTGGTCACTTTGAGAAGAAACAAAAATTAGGAACCGTTTTCCGCATCATTGACTTGTGTCTCCTCACACAGTATCGCTCGGCATACCGAAAACGGATCCGGCCAAGGGCAAGCATCCGTACATCTTCGGAGGCAAGCTGCTGAACGAGTACGAACTGGAGGGCCTGCACTTTCACTGGGGCGACAAGAATAATCGCGGTTCCGAGCATGTGATGAACGACATCAGGTCAGTATCCCGAGCTAACTTACAACCTCTAACAACTATGGATAATTGGAAATTCTGAATTTATGCGAAGATAAAAGTGCCATATAACAACCTTTAGAAGTCGTAAAGCAAGCAATTCCGGTGGAACGTGAGTCAATTGAGGAAACTGGGCACAGAGCACAGAGTAGTCGTAATCGTTTTGGAAATGGATGTTGGGAGAGTGAGCAGAATGATAATGGGGTTTTAATAGACGATAAAAGGTGATCGATGGCAGAGAATAGAAGATTTGTACACCAACGTACAGGGATGGCAAATGGTTTTTGGAGCATCTTTCATTCTTCTGAACATAGGAAACTAGTAGCGCCGGTGAGGGTTCAATTCCAATCGGTGCCGTCGGGATTTTCTGAGGCATAAAATTTCGGATCACACCTACCTACGGTAGAGAAGTAAAGCCGTTGATCCCCGATCCATGAATTGATGGGTCGATAGGAGTAGGGTCCAGGTGTGGGAGCTGCCTCCCTAGGGTCGGCACCATTGGTACACTCAGTACGGTTTTTTTTTCGATCAAACGGGAGCGCAGCCTGGTTTGTTTATTTAGTGAAAACATGCAGTGCGACTCTACGGTGCAACAATTTTGAAGTTTCATGAGGAAAATACTAAAGAGCCTGAATTTATAAAGATACGACATCTTATCCATTTGACAGGTCTTCTGCTCGATTGGAATGACTTTTCCTATGACTTTGACAGATAATCGATTGTTCCAATTTTGACATGTCGCCTCTTTATAAATTCAGGCTCTTTAGAAAATACTATTCGAATCGATCTATTTTTAAAGAGATGCTTTATAGAGCGATGCCATCCCTGCCAATACGCACGTAGATTTAGGCTATTTAAATCTTTTCGGCCATGTCCCACTTAATTCCAACCTCGTCAAGTTCTGGATCAAATTTTTCACTTTTATTATGTACCGTAGAACGGGTTGAAGTTGATCACTTTTTATTGATAAACCTGAATATTTTTCAAATATGATAGGGGAAATGGATGTAATATCATCCTAAATGCCCCTAATTTGGGCCCATACATAAATTCACCAATCGACTAAATGTTCAATAGCGACCAAAAATATCAATTAGTACCGTCCCAATGACGAGTTCATCTTGATAAAATTGATAAATATCAGATTTTTAGCGATGGGCCCAATCTTAGATCCATAGGCCAACATTAGAGCCATTTCCCCTATCATATCACCATGGGACATTTGCATACAAGCAGGCGGACAAAAATATTTCCATAAATTTGTCGCATTCTCTGGAATTTTCCTTGCTTGGCCTGATCAAAATACGATCTTACTAAACACTCAAAGATAAATTAAATCAAAAAAGCTTAAAAAGTATGCAGATTCCCGCTTCACCTTAGTGAGTCCGAGCCATGATTACCTCGGCAGCAGTCATGCATGATTAAAATCGTAATAATCTTTCCAGTATTAAATGTTAGTCTTTTTCAATACTGATATATAATCAAAAAAGATTAAAATTCAATCAAAAATTATTAAAATGGAATCAAAAATGATTGACATTTATTCAAAAAAAGATAATCTACAATCTAATCAACCATGATTAAACTAGGATTAATATCAGATGCTTATATTTTAGAAAGAGAGGATTAATTTTTAATCATTTGATTCATCAAATTTCATGACCAACTTTTGAAAAGGGCTTAACATTTTGTTGTTTTAAAATTAATGATAATATTTTGAAATCGGTTACAGCTTTAAGTTTAAATTCGAAGAACGTTCATGCTGAAGATAATTCGAACTTTAAAACAAAGATAATTAACAATTGGTTTTATACAGGGTTAACCGTAAAAATAGGTAAAAGCATTTATATTATCAGGCTACCAATTTGTTTTTTATAAATATGTTTATTTGTTTAAAAAAAAAAATACCTCTAAATAGAAAACATAATATGACTTAGTATAGTGATTACAATTAAATAGATTTTTTGTCTATTAATTTATTTCATAAGACTCAATCGACTTAACTTTACAGAGCCAAGGAATCTTGTCATTATACAATAGACTGATGCAAAATTTGAAATTTTCGCTCCACAGTGTTCAATCGGTTTCAAATCGGGTTCTGATTAGCCTCCCGAAGTTCAAACTCATTTGATAAGAAACTGACTTGGCACAAACCATTTGAAGTTTATATGGAAATTACTATGGGAAAACAAAACTTTTTTTCTTATAGCGTTTTTACATATTGTACTGTTAACAAATTCTATTGCTATTCTTATGGGAATATTTATCAGCTACAACTTTACAGAACATCGTTTTTCAGCCAAACGTCAAATTAAATAGTTATTAATTGTTTAAGAGATTGATAATCTTATGGCAATCTGTATTGTGGGCAACACTGTATTCTGCAGTGTGACATAGTAGCCATGATTTTTGTCCTCTATTCTACGCGCCATACACACTAATGTTGACTGCTGAACAGTTGATTGAGCATAATCATAAGACATCAGTGCCTTGAATCATTAATAATTTTTGTTCCTTACATTTGATCGAAAACTGGTCTTCAACAAAGTTGCAGCTGAAAAAATTTTCAAAATTCTCTAAAGTAGATTGAACTGGTGAATTTTGAGATAGATATGAACCGAAATTAGGTTTTCTTCATAGTAATTCCCATATAAACTTCAAATGGTTTGTGTCAAGTCAGTTTCTCACTAAATAAGTTCAAATTTTGGGAGGCTAATCAGGGCTCAATATGGAACCGTTTGATCACTGTGGAGCGGAAATTTCAAGTTTTGTATCTGTCTTTTATACAAAACATCGTAAAACTATAGTTAAACGATACAACACAACAAACACTTTATCTTCTGCTATCCAATAAGTATTCACCAAAGATGAAGAGCCCTTCTGGCTAACCTTATGCCATGTATTAGCAATTGTAAACCACATAACAAATCAAAACTAAAGAAGAATTTTACTACTATCCAATAAGTCTCCTCCGTCAGAACGGAAGCCGCTTGCAGTGGTTTTATTGTTTGGCAGTATCGCCAACGGGGGGCAGAGCGCGTCCATTGCAGCAATGGACGCAAAGCGTGGTCAACACCAGAGCGTAAAATTATTGACTGCTTAGGCTGAGTGTGAAAGCACTGCACAATTTAATCCATTGCTCTGTGCAGACCGTTTGTACCAAATGGTAAAGGACGAGGCAATGAACGAGCCAACAAAAACATTCAGTCACTCACGAACAGGCGACTCACACTGCTTGCCTTCGCTCACACAGCATGTAATTGAGGCATTTTTCCATAGAAAATGTACGCTAAGTCATTCAAAACAAGTATTCGATACCTCCACGGAAGAATAAACGTGCTGACTGAGCTACTGACTGAGTGCCCGGCTGACAGTGGCTCGTTTACCTCTCAATCATTCAGACTCTCACGAGGCAGTGAATGACGAGGCAGATGGCAATTCATATTCATATGAAAATAACTCATTGAACCTGACTGTTTTTCGCACTGGTCAGCACTCACACACTCATCACTAATGGGGTGTTAACACTTATGCTATTTCACTAGCGCTAATGAGCCAGCTGCTAGCAAAAACGCTCACCAGCATAATGTACACAGGGCATCAGCGTCTATCAGCATGAGATTTCAGAAGTAACTGAATTTCGTGCTAGTTTCTAGTACACTAGCGCTAGCAAATCCCCACAGATGTAAACACCCCATAAACGGTTGCTTTCCAAAGTCGACGACGCATCGACCGAAAGAGCTGCTGATGAAGAACAATGAGAAAGACCACACAATGGTTGCTGCCGAGTAAACAGACGGTCGAGAGTGGCCTGCTTCAGTCGACAGCCGAGTGAACATTCCGCTAATGAGCCAAGAGGTGCTGGTGAATGAACGATCATTTCTCACGGTCACCGGAATTTTATACCAATCATACAATTTAAGATAGAGCCAAGGGCTCGGCCAAAACTCTACACACTTATTTTGCACCAAAATTTTTCTCAGTGTGCCCCAAGTGTGCCACGCTGTGCCGAGAGTGCCAGTCAGCGGACTGAATTTGTTTGTGAATAATTGTATGTTTGGCAACCCGGTATTTTGATGGTTCAAAAGTTTTGTTTTGCTTGCCGAAAGCGAGTGAATTATAAAGAGAGGACATTTCCAAATTGGAACAATCGATTATCTGCCAAAGTCATAGGAAATGTTATTCCAATCGAGCAGAAGACCTATCAAATGGATAAGATGTCGCCTCTTTACCCAATTCAGTCTCTTTAAAGGGTGTCCACGATGAAATTGCCACACTATGAAATTGCTCTAACTTTTTAACCGTTGGGTAGAATTTAATGAAAATTTGGGTGGATTTAGTTCATAGTGCATTATTTACATCCTGCACGTTTTAAAGTCCTGTGATCAAAACTCGCGGAAATGGAGTCGAAAGAACAGCTCGTGCGTGATAAAATCTTGCGCATTCATCACGAGAACAAGGATCTATCGCATCGTTCCATCGCTAAAACGTTGGGAATCGCGAATTCCACGGTGTCGCGAGTGATTAAGCGGTTCGAGGAACGGTTGACCACCGATCGGAAGCCCAGAAGTGAAGGAAAAAGTATTCCGTACAACACCAAAAATCACAACCGCGTAGTTGGGGCCTTCAACCGAAATCCGAACGCCTCCGTTAGGGATGTGGCTAAGAAGCTGCACCTAAGCCGAAGTTTTGTCCAGAAGGCCAAAACTAAGGCTGGGCTTCGAACGTTTACGGTACAAAAGGCCCCTAATCGCGACGAGAAGCAGAACAAGTCCGCCATAACCCGTGCCAGCAAGTTGTACCTCAACATGCTGAAGAAAGTTGAATGCTGCATCATGGACGACGAAACATATGTGAAGGCCGACTTCAAACAGATCCCCGGCAACCTGTTTTTCACGGCCAAGGATAAGTTCAGCGTTCCGGAGCATGTCCGCACTCAGAAGATGTCCAAATTTGCGAAGAAATTCCTGGTTTGGCAAGCCATCTGCACGTGCGGGAAGCGGAGTGCACCTTTCGTGACCCAGGACACGATGAACGGACAGGTGTACATAAAAGAGTGCCTCCAGAAGCGGCTGCTTCCTCTCCTGAAGGCCCACAACGTTCCAACAATCTTCTGGCCGGATTTGGCCTCATGCCACTACTCCAAGGACGTGCTGAAGTGGTATGCGGACAGTAAGGTCAATTTCGTGCCGAAAATGTTCAACCCTCCCAACACTCCGGAGCTCCGCCCCATCGAGAAGTACTGGGCGATTATGAAGCAGCACCTTCTTAAACGACCTAAGGTAGTGAAGACAGTCGAGGAACTGAAGAAAGTATGGGTTTACATGCAAAAAACGGCTGATTCACAGGTTGTGCAGAATCTTATGGCCGGGGTTAAGGCCAAGGTGCGGGCATTTGCGTATGGACTGTAAATAAAATACGAGTAAAATGGTAAAATGAAGTTTAATAGTTATTTCTCAATCCCTGAAAATTTGATGGCAATCGGATGAAAACTCGAATTTTGCGAATCAATTTTGTGTGTGGCAATTTCATCGTGGACACCCTTTAATAGGAATTTCGTAAGTGTTGATGTTTTTCGAGTTGACGCCGGTGGTGTAGTGGCAAGGCTGGTACAATCCCAGCCGAGGTCGGTGGGATTTTTCAGAGGCATAATAATCTCTGGTCACGTGATCCCTTTGGAAGGGAAGTAAAGCCGTTTGTCCCGGCCCATGTGTGTTGAATGGGTGCGATATCCTACTCAGGTGTGGAAGCTGCCTTCCTGCAAGAAGAAGAAGAATATGTTTTTCAAGAGCGTTGAGGAAGTCCTGCATTCCGAACTGATCATTCCACAAGAAATCAGCCAAGAATTGGAGTTCACGTTGCTTTCACTGTTGGACAAGAATCCCAAAACTCGGATCACCAACCTGGAGCTACGGGAGGCGGTATGGATGACTATATCTGTTCAATGGTGAAGACAGGCTTGCTGAAACTCCTCAAACTCACTGGGGGTTTTAAAACACTCTTGTCCTGCGAGTCCTCACCTCGAGTGAGTGGCGGCAGGAATATGGAAGAAGTAATCAAAAACTCCTCGAGAGAGAGCGAGAGTGAACTTCAGCGAGAAGATGAGTTGACGTGAGGTGCGCTTTTCGAGACTCCGGATGACTTTTTTGTTCGACGCAAGCAGAGTTGCGACCTATCACAATCACGATCGCCAAACAGCTGATGGTAGTATCGCTTTGTACATTCCTATCAATGTGCTCGTCGAAGCTCTCTCCATGACCATCCATCAAGTTGACGAAAGAAGTAAAAAGCAACTGGTGAATGTCGTCTTCTGATGTGATCCATCACCGATCTGCTCATTCCCGACAATCACGACACTCATCTGTGCTCGTTTTGAAGCAGTTGCTGCTTTGCTTGCTTATGAGAGTGTGTTGGTGAGTGAGCCCAACAGCTTCAGTTTCATGTTGCCTGCTTTGTTTGTAACTCACACAGTCGCGCCTGTCGAGACGAACTTGGAATGCGTAGGCATTGTTTTCATTTTCTTGTCGTTTCGCTTTTTCTCATGATCGTACTGCAGAAGTCTTCACTGTTTTCTTTGTGCTTTTCAACATCAGCAGCAAGTGTAACGTTTTGCTTGTGAGCAGCGACCATTACTGGTGATTGTTGTTTGCTATGGCTCTAATTCTCACTGCGCGACAAAACGATCTGTCAGCGATAGTCGGTTGATGCGAAGACGAGTGTCACGTGAGTGTCATGATATTTTGCATCACTGGACGCAAGAAGCTCAGAGTTCACCCAGAGTGAGAGTAAGAGCGTGAGATAGAAAACATGAACATGAATGGCAGCAAAGCAAACCACACTCTCATTTTATCCCCCTTCGCTCATAAGCTCTGAAGCTCAGTGGAATGATTTGGCAGTTGGCATTCTACTCCTCAGAAAAATGCTACGCTCGGCTCATTTCAATCTCGCAAGCAAGGCTCCATCAAGCCTGGGTGAAGATGACGATGAGCATGTCAACATGGACGTTTCGTTCATGAACCCCGACGAGATGCTGGACGATGATATTTGTCCTCTGTCGCACGATGATGAGATTGGTCTAGATGACGATATCTCCGGCAGAGAGATGATGCTGACGATAAGGATGTGGATGGTGGTGGTGGTGCTGCTGCTGACGATCGGAAGGCACACTTCAGCACGATCCGACCAGTAGCAGCAGTTACGTTGGTGGCGCCGCCAGTCCATACAATTCACCGAGTAAAAGTAACCGTCAGAGGCGGTAGCAGCGACAAAAGCGTGCTTTGGAAATGAACCATCCGGTCGTCATCGTGACGTCGGCATCTTCTATTAATCCGGTTGCGGACCATAGCAGTAAGAGTGAGTTGAAGGTTCCGGCGGAATTATCTGTTGCGGATACCAAAACATATTTGTGTCAACAATCAAATTTTGACACATCTGCACTGCGCAGGCGAATAGGAATAGTGCAGTGATGCCAGTTACATTAGAGATCATATTATGAGTACCAAACAGTGTTGATCTACTCTTACTCAACATTGTTCGTAAATTTGTGTCGATACATGTTCATTTCTTTGTACATACCTTACCAAAAAACCTCTGCTGTCCGAAGAAGCCGTCTCCACTCTACTTGATCCATGGCCACACGTCACCAGCCTTGTAGTCTGCGAAGAGTCCGCAGGTCGCCTTCTCCTTGGTCGATCCACCTAGCCCGCTGCGCGCCTCTTGTTCCTGTTGGGTCGCTTTCGAGAACCATTTTCACTTGGTCGACTTACGACGTGTCCAGCCCACCGTAGTCGCCCAATTTTTGCAGTGTGAACGATGGATGGTTCTCCCAGCAGCTGGTGCAATTCATGGCTCATTAGCATTCTCCACGTTCCGTCATCCATCTGCACTCCACCGTAGATGATACGCAACACCTTATGTTCGAAAACACCAAGGGCGCGTTGGTCCTTCACGAGCATAGTCCAGGTCTCGTAGAGGACCACTGGTCTAATCAGCGTCTTGCAGATTGTCAACTTCGAGCGACGTCGAATTTTATTCGACCGGAGCGTCCTCCGGTCCTGCCATAATGCGTCTTTGAATGTCTCTACTGGTACCATTTTCGGCGGTCACCAGTGAGCCCAAATTCACGAACTCGTCGACCACCTCGATTTCGTCACCGTCAATCTGAACTCGGGGTGGGAGGCTAACATTGTCTTCCCTAGAACCTCATCCTCTCATGTATTTCGTCTTCTATGCGTTGATGGCAAGTCCAATCCGCCTAGCTTAGCCTACAGTCTGATGTACGTTTCCGTCATCATCTCAAAGTTCCGTGCCATGATGTCGATGTTATCGGCGAAGCCAAGAAGCCTGATGGACTTCCTGAAGATCTTGTCTATCCCAGCTCTTCTGATCACACCTTCTAACGCGATGTTAAATAGCAGACACGAAAGTCCATCACTTTGCCGTAACCCCCTTCGAGATTCAAAGGGACTCGAGAGTGTCCCCGATACTCGAACAACGCACATCACTCGATCCATCGTCGTCTTGATCAATCGCATCAGTTTATCCGGAAATCCGTACTCGTGCATAATCTGCCATAACTGATCTCGATCTATTGAGTCGTATGTGGATTTGAAATCGATGAACAAATGATGTGTGAGCACGTTGTATTCGTGGCATTTCTACAAAACCTGCTGAATCGCAAAAAATTGGGCGCGGGCACCCATGAATCCCGCCTGGTATTGCCCCACGAACTCTGGCGGCGGCATAGAATGTGGGAGAGTACCTTGTAGGCGGCGCTCAGCAGTGTGATCACGCGGTAGTTGCAGCAATCCAACTTGTCGTTCTTCTTGTAGATTGGGCATACGACACCTTCCATCCACTCCTCCGGTAATATCTCCTCCTCCCGGATCCTTCTTCAAATTTCTCAATATCATCCATTATGTTATGTTTGGTGTTGCTCCACAAATTGGACAATTCTGCATCGACGAATTTCCAGTACCTAATATAAGTTTTTTTCCATCTATCGTACTCAAGACAAAGTCGATTGTCGTTCGAAAACTTTCAGTGGCGTTAATTCACTCATTTTATCTCTACATTCTGTTTTCTAGCTAGAACTATCTCTTTACTCTCTTTGATAAATTCAAGTATGAATGGCCTACAAAATCGAATACTTTAAGGCATAGGATTAAACCACATACTTTGCTTTCAATCGTTATGCATGAACATCTGAATCGGGGTTAAAGTTGACGAAAATATGCCTGATTCATCCTGACATCCTTCTGGTAGTACTTGACGATATTGCGAATATCCATTCGAATCGTCCATACCCCATGTTCATAGAAGAACCAGTTAAAAATACGCCTAAACATAGGCAATTAACATCAGTTTTTCACATAAAATCGTTCTAACAAAATCTGATTTGAGATTTGGATTCAGCGACCCAAAATTAAGTCAAATTTGTCATTTCACCGAATACAGCACCAGAATAAATGTTGATTCTGATAGGATGTTTAGGAACAGTTATGCAATACATCGTTTGTTAGGGGAAACGTTTCAACCGTACTATTAGAAACTACTTAATGAAATACTAAACAAATTGCCTTATAACGTTGAGAAACGAAAATCGAACGGAGTAGTGATCGACTTCACCCCGTTTTACGCTATGTCTATTAAAGCCTGGCTAAACAGCGGATTTCCTTCAAAGCTTCTTCGACCCATAAATTTCCCCAGATCTAATTAATTAATTTAGCTTTATTTAGGAGGCTTTCAGCCTTAGGCTGGTTCGCCTCCGATGGCTTCCCCAGATCTAGTAATAATAAGCATCACGCTCTTCCTCCCAGGTACCCACTCGAAATGCACATCATCCACCGAAACAAAAAGTACAAAACCGTTGCGGAAGCTCTCGGCTACACCGACGGTCTGACCGTCCTCGGTTTCTTCTACCAGGTAACCCAAAAACATAATCACGCAACCCATTAGTTCACATGTAACCACATCACCGCATTACCCCCATTCACACAGGTTACCGAACACGACAGCCACGAGATCGGCTCCCTCCTGCGGACCTTCCCCATGATCGAAGAGTTCGACCAGCAGGTCCATCTGAATCACACCTTCACGCTCAACTCGCTGCTCGGCGATCTGGACATGACCCGGTTCTACACCTACAAGGGCTCTCTCACCACCCCACCGTGCTCCGAGGCGGTCACGTGGGTTCTCTTCCCCGAAGTGCTGAACATTTCCATTTCGCAAATCCGCCGCTTCCGGATGGTAACCTCGATTTGTTTTGCCTTTCCATTTCCCACCGGAGGCAGTGCAGTTAGTGACCAACATTTTCGTTTCTTCTAGCTCGACACCGGCCTGCACGGTTCTCCGATGGTGGACAATTACCGGGCGCTGCAACCGTTGGGTAATCGGCGGATTTTCGTCCGAAAGGTGAACGCACGCAACACGGCACTAGACGCGATTCGGAACGAGATCGATCACACCAAATGGGAATGGGTGTACTAATGGAGCTCTGGAGTAGCGAAGGCGAAAAGTTGCGGGGAATCACATCAGGTCATATGCGGAAGCCTTCTTTCATTTTTGTTTTTGTTTCGATTGCGAATATATAAATTGCAAAAAAAGAGGGCGGACGTCATTGAAAAGTGCTGCGCTAATTTATTCGATAAGTAAGATAAAGAGGAGGAAATGAGATGCATGAGTACCAAAAAGATAATTAATAAAGCAAGCGATGCGTATTTCTTCACTGCATGTAGGTAGATTTTACTGTACTCACGTTCATGGTTTAGATACTTATTAATTCAATGTAAAATTACAGGCAAATTAATGATAAGCTTAGATAAATAGAATTTACAAAACGAACAACCGCATCAAATTGTGTTCTTTTGTAATCAGTTAAATGTAGGATTGACGACCTTGATACTTACCAGAGTTTGCTAGTTCTCTATCGTTACCTAAACATCGTTCAAATGTTGACTAACTGTAACCACTATCACATCTGAAATAGGTATTATTGAGGCGATAAATAAAATTTGCTTGAACACGCTGTAAATTACATAAGACTGCACTCGATTTTCCACCGAATGAACTGTTTCTGTTAAACGATTGAGAAAATGGGTTCGTGAATTGGGTTGTTTAACTTCGAAAAACATATCGATGTTTATACATCATCTGATAGAGGTTCGTTTTCTGAACACAACGATATTTTTATCGATCCCGTAGACATTCAGCTCGATTTTTAAATCAAGATTTAAATTTTTGATCGTTGACCAAAAATCCCACCCAGGGGCGCTAGGATGGTGATTTTTGCTAATGTAATCATACTTATTTAAAATAGATCCAGTGTACCAAAATTGTTGAAATTTTGGATTTCGGTGCCATTTTTAATGCAGATAACGAATATGTATTTACCTCAATACCCCTAAAACAACCCAATTGTTGATACTGATAGAGTAAAGTACATCGCCCGCACAATCTTTAATTACTGTGAGTAAATGAATTTTGGTAATTTGCTAGGCCTGTCATCTTAGAATTTGGATATTTGTCTCAAGTCAGAAGTCTCGGAACACATCAAAGGCTCAGATTTTTAAACTTATTCAATATATTGCCAAATTTTGAAAAGTTGAATATTCCACATAGGAGTTGTTTATATTGAATTTTTGAATAAACCGAAACAGTTAAGATATAAAAAAATATTCCACTTAACTAATGCTTGAATAGAAGATTGAATATTATTTCCTGATTCATATCAAAATAGTAGCTAAATAGGAAACTTAATAATTAGGTTATGTCAATGAATTTAAGAGTTTTTCTGATGTTCTGCAATTCGATAGCTCCCCCAAGCACTGGCGTGCACAGGGTGGGGCAAAGTGGGGGCAATTTCCCCTCTTTTTATAAATAAGATTTTTATTTCCATTTACAAAATTATGATATAAAATAACTTGATTTCTTGATAACTTGATAACTTCTTTTCATAAAATAAGAGCACTGAAAACCTTTTTATTGCGTCAATTCCTTTGAGATAGATTCGCTACATTGTGGTGAATGTTGAAGCAAGGTATATTCATTTTTCTGGTGAATAATTTGCATCGTTCTGATGAATGCAAGCTTCATTGAGAATTTATGGTGGAAAATTTGCAGCATTCTGGTGCATGAAGAGGCAAACCCTGAAAATTGCACCACAAAGGTGCATTGTGAAACAAACTTCACTGACAATTTTTGGTGCTCCGATCACCGAAGGAGGAGCATGCTTTATTGAAAATTTCTGGTGCAAAATTTGCATCGCTCTGATAAATGAAATGAACGGAAAATTTCTGGTGAAAAACTTGCACTGGTTTGGTAAATGAAGGCACAAGCTTTATTTAAAATTAATCTATATTGAAAAATTCTGGTGGGAAATCTGCACCGTTCTGGTGAACGGATGGGCAAGCTTCTTGGAAAAATTTTGGTCTTAAATTTGCATCCTTCTGCTGAGTCTAGGCAGTTTTTAATCATGAGTAATATTGGAGTTAATTTTGAGTAGCTCTGAGTAACTCGAGTTGCTCCTTATTGAATGCACGGTAGCACAGCAACCTGTTTGTGTACGTGTTTGTTTCCCAAATGTCGTCGTCAGATGTTTGGCGAAGCAAACATTTCAGAAGTTTCAAACCCATCACCATCCATTGACGTATCCTACTGGATCACTATCCTAAAATCCCTTAATTTTCGTACATTGTTGTTAAACCTTACTAAGTAGTTTTCCAACAATCATCAATCAATGATCACCATCAACATGGAGAAGATTCACGCTAAGATACACATACCTAAAAGTCGGTAAAGAATACTTAAATATCGGTAAAAATTACCGATAATCGAAGAAAGTGCGCATACCTAAATTATCGGCTATTATGGATTACCAAAAATTAACGTTAAAAATCAGGCATACCATTTGATAACGGCACAAAAACATTTGTAAACAACATCATCGGATACAGGGAACTATCACCTTTCCGAAAGTGGTATTGGTTTGCGTGGGCGTACTTTGGTTAACGTGTAAAGGGTCTTAGAAAGTTTGTTTACAAATTCTTTTGTGCCGTTATCAAATGTTATGCCTGAAATGTCCTAATTTATAGTTAAAAATATCCAATTTAAAGTAAAAAGTAACGATTTTTATCGGTAAAAATAACCTATTATTTTGGTAATCGTAGCTTAGAGTGTTGCATTCGTAATAGAAATCAGAGTATTTTAACGTCTCTAAGAATAGTAAATTAAATTGTCATAATATCTTTAACAGAGTAATATAAAAAATCTTTGTTTTATTCTAGGTAATGCTCCTGGTTATATTTTTTAACATAGATTTAGCATTTCCATTGAAAATCGTTTAAAAAACGTTGTAGGCAACCCGTTACTTCTCTAGTATAACATCATTTGGCATCATCACGACTATATCTAAGAAAATAACCTTTGCATTTATTTAGGAATGCCTGATTCACATCTTGGATTCACATGGTTTTCTGGAATATTAATTAAAAGAAATTCCATTTTCTAGTAAGTTTGTCACGGAATCGATGGAAAAGAAGCTTTTCATCGTCTAGGCATATTTGTTTATTCAAAACTTTATTCTAGGTAAATTCAAATAAAGAAGGAAACTCAAGAAGGATATTGAGTTTCCTTCTTCATAAATTCGATCTATGTAATTTGAATTACTGTTGTTTACACACCGACAAACCGACATGACACTTAATTCTGACTTATGCCCGAAAATCGTAAACGGCCGATTTAAATGTGCAGTGATCCAATCTGTCAATATCATAGGATTTTTTCATCTAGATAAAAATAATGTGTCCAGAATAGATCAGACACGAACCAATTCATAACTTTTGCATGCGAGTCCATGGCTTAGCTAAATATTTCCCGTGAACACGGAGCCAGATGTCAGTAGTGTGCTTTGGTCAGAAATTTTATTGTTTTTGCTATGGTCATTCATGTCAGTTTGTCGGTGGTTTACAGTTCCAATTGTAGACCCCAAATTTGCTTTAAGCGTCCATCACACCTTTCTGGATGTTAAGACAACGAGTTCACTGTTAATGGCATCTTCTGTGGAGCTATATATCTATCTAGCTAGTTTTATATGTTATTGTTCACTCTTACCTAAAGGCTTCCGCTTGACTCTACAATTCTGCAAGTTAATCATCCAATCCAAGCTAAAATATCCCGTAGCGACCCTCACACGGTTTCGCAGCAGTTTAGACGGGTTTGTGGATTGATTCATTTGGATTGGATAATCTTAACGTCACACAACCTGAACATACAATTTTTCAAGATTTAGCATATCTGACTAATGTGCTATAAATGAATTGAATTTGCCTGGTTAATATTAGTATCAATATATGAAAATATTACGAAAAAGATCACTCTGACAGTTGATGTTTATTAAAACAGTTTTTAATTCTTATTTCTAGATAGAGCTGGATTTAGGGCCTAACAGCTTTTGTAAACAATGACTTCTATCGATGATTTCTAGAAATTCAAGGCTCGCCCACGCAAACCAACATCCTCATCAGGTAGGCAAAGACTTCCCCTATCCGATGGTTATGATGGTATGCGTGGGCGAGCCTTGAGTTCCTAGAAATCATCGATAGAAGTCATTGTTTACAAAATCTGTAACGCCCTAATTCCAGCTCTATCTAGATTTACTGATGAATGTGCGACTACTTTGATCAATTTTGAATAATCATGAGTTGCTCAAATTTACTCGCTGCAAAAATATTAACTCTAAGTACAGTTGGCTTACCCCTTGTGGTGAATAGAGAAATAAACTTTAATAATAATTTAATTTAATAACAGTTCTAAAAGAAGAGATTTCTGGAGATGATTCCATGATTCTGCGAATAATTTCTAGTGAATTCTGCAGATAGTTCCAAGATAATTTCGAAAAGAATACCGAGAGAATTAAATTTTGAATGAAATTCCAAAGGGCTGTTGAGAAAAATTTCAAGGGAGTTCCGAGGATAATTTCAAGCTCATTCTGGGAAGACTTTCTGGAGAATGCAGAGGAAATTCTTCTAAAACTTTAAGGGGATTTCAGTTCCAAGGTGTTCTGAGTAAAAGTCAAGAAGAGTTTTAAAAATAATTCCAGACGACTTCTGAGAAGAATTTCAAAAGAGCTCATAGAGTTCTAAAAATTTCGAAAAGAACCTCAAGGAATTCTGAGGATGAACTTTTTCGCAACTGTACAAAGTTTAAAGACAGCTTTTGGTTTCCCTAATTGAAAAGTGGGTATTAGTTTGCCATTGAACCTTGGTCTATTGTTGTCTTACTAAAAATTCATCTAAGAATCTTCTCTGAAAACTTCAAACCATTTGTTACTGTGGTTAAAAAGTTACAGCTGTTTATGTGCGTTGCAATAAATTCGGGTTTGTCTTTTATATCGCCTTTGAATCATGTTGCATGTTCGGCATCCTTTTCTGTCAAATTGACATATAGAATAAAATGGTTACATATCGAGATATAGAACATCGAGATATGGAGAGTTGATGGAATGCTCAAAATTATTTTCTCTCTCTTGGTGATGACTGCTTCTTTTAAAAAAATGAGCAGTTTTTCGACAGATAAATACTATTGTACAATCTAACCCAGGTTTTTTTTATTATAGAGATTTTTAGCCATTTTTAGTTCATCTCTTAAGATAGTATAAAAAAAAAGAGAAAACAAAATTGGGTTCTCAGAAGGAGATTCCCAATCTTGGCTGTGGTACATTTATCGTGCTATAATG